AACAATAAATTATTCAAGTATTGAAGCACAAGTGTGAAGCATCGGTACAGTAAACCAACCATCATAATATATGCCACAAAACATGAACTGCTGGCACTATGAACCGACAACACTATGAACCACCGACACCGCGAACCAATAGCAAAACGAAACAGTACCATGAACCACCACCAACACGAACTACTGCTACGAACCTCCACCATCACCACCACGAACTAACAACACCACCACCAACATCACTTTCAAGAAGCACTATGAACCACCACGAACCACTATGAACCACCACGAAGCACAATGAACCACCATGAACCACCACGAACCAATATGAACCACCACGAAGCACTATGAACCACCACGAAGAACTATGAACCACCACGAAGCACAATGAACCACCACGAAGCACAATGAACCAAGGAAGCGTCCCATCACCAAGGAGGAGAAGGAGGAGGCCGGGGGATGGAGAAGGAGGAGGCGGGGGATGGAGAAGGAGGAGGCAGGGGGATGGAGGAGGAGGAGGCCAGGGGATGGAGAAGGAGGAGGCGGGGGATGGAGGAGGAGGAGAGCCAACTAAGGAAAATATCACAGCCACAAACAACAATACAATATATCCTTGTGTTTTGTTCATGATTATTTATATTTTGCCCGCCCCTTATACTAGGCCTGGAGGCTCATATAGGCTTTATTTATATCTCTTTTTTGCTCTTATATTACACTTTCTTTTATATAAGTTTCCGTAGAGAGAAGTGGTGTGTGTGTGTGTGTGTGTGTGTGTGTGTGTGTTGATTCTCGTTGTTTTATCTTACTGTCTCTCTCTCTCTCTCTCTCTCTCTCTCTCTCTCTCTCTCTCTCAGCGATGGCCACATAAGAAAGAATAACACTTACCTAATACAACTTTATGGAGCGTTTATAAGTACACAAGTACATTTAAGTAATTCAATTAAGTGTATCCTCTCTTTATACCTAAACATCTACTCACACTTACTTGACCAGAACAACGTAAACATTAATCCCTCTAAAACATTCCTCTATAGAGTATAAACCTTTGAAAATTAATCTTTTTCCTAAACATTCCTTAAAATATATATATATATAAAACCATGACACTATATATTTTTATTAATAATTTCTCTACTTTATTATAGGAAAAGTTTATTTTCTTCCTTAGTCTATTAAGGAAAAATACGTCTTTTATTTATCTAGAGAATTTTCCTTAAATAATCTGTCCTGTTGACTAGCCAATGGTGATCACTCTTTCCCTCGTCTTTTCCTTGCAGATCAGCCAATCATGGTGACAAGAGAGGGGAGAGGAGGACAAGTGAGGGGAGAGGAGGACGAGTGAGGGGAGAGGAGGACAAGAGAGGGGAGAGGAGGACAAGTAAGGGGAGAGGAGGACAAGTGGGGGAAGAGGAAGAAAATAAGGGGAGGAGGGCAAATAAGGAGAGGGAGAGGACAAAAGAGGGGAGAGGAGGACAAATGAGGGGAGAGAGGAGGAGGGACGAGGGGAGAGGGAGGACAAGTGAGGGGAGAGGAGGACGAGAGGGGAGAGGAGGACAAGAGGAGAGGACAAGAGAGAGGGAGACAGAGGGGAGGAGAGGACAAGGAGGGGAGAGGAGGAGAGGGAGAGGGAGGGACAAGAGAGAGGGAGGAGGAGGGGGAGAGGAGGACAAGAGAGGGGAGAGGGACAAGAGAGGGAGAGGAGGACAAGAGAGAGGGGAGGGAGGGGAGGAGGAGGAGAGGAGGGGAGAGGGACAAGAGAGGGAGGAGGAGGAGGACAAGAGAGGGGAGAGGAGGACAAGAGGGGAGAGGAGAGGACAAGAGAGGGGGAGAGGAGGACAAGAGAGGGGGAGTGACAAGAGAGGGGGAGAGAGGAGGAGAGGACAAGAGAGGGGAGAGGAGGACAAGAGAGGGGAGAGGAGGAGAGTGAGGGGGAGAGACAAGTGAGGGGAGAGGAGGACGAGGAGGGGAGAGGACAAGAGAGGGGAGAGAGGAGGAGGAGAGGAGGGGAGAGGGAGAGGGGAGGGACAGAGGGGGAGAGGAGGAGACAAGTGGGGGAGAGGGAGGGACAAGGGGAGAGGAGGACAAGAGAGGAGAGGAGGACAGGAGGGAGAGGACAAGAGAGAGAGGGGAGAGAGGACGGGAGAGGGAAGGGGGAGGGAGAGGAGAAGAGGGGGAGAGGGGAGGAGAGAGGGGGAGGAAGGGAGAGGAGGACAGAGAGGGAAGAGGAGGACGAGTGAGGGGAGAGAAGGACAAGGAGGGGAGAGGGGAGGGAGATGGGAAAACACGAGAAAGGAGGTGAAGGACAAGAGAGGGGAGGGGAGGGAGGAGGAGGGAAGAAGAAGAAAGAGGAGAGAGGGAGTTACGAGGGAAGATGTGAGGGGAAAGAGAGGCCTCATCTGTATGCCGAGAGAATGAAGGACATCCATAAGCTTACGTGGAGAGAGAGAGAGAGAGAGAGAGAGAGAGAGAATTATCCTTCCCCCACTCTTCCTCTGCATGGCTAGGTCAACACGTCTCATAGCGGGGAGTGGACCTGGGGAGAGAGAGGAGATGGGGAGGCAATCTGGGGAGAAGTGTGAGGGGTTAGGAGAGAAGAGGAAGGATGGCGAAGGGGGTGATGGAGGGACGGAGGGGTGGAGGGGTGGAGGGATAAAGGGGTGTTGGAGGGATGGAGGGCTGGAGGGGTGGAGGGATAAAGGGGTGTTGGAGGGATGGAGGGCTGGAGGGGTGGAGGGACGTTCCACTTTACAACACCCCAACACGACTGGATGCCTCTCCCTCCCCTTGTTAGATCCGAGTCAAATTGACCCCCATTACCATGACACATTGTTGCAGTGTTCCAGAGTTACAGTGTTCCAGAGTTACAGTGTTCCAGAGTTACAGTGATGACCCTACAACCCTCGGATGGTTTAAGGAGCCGGTGACCTAAAGATCTAGTTCGGATTAACGAGGAGATGAAGCCCTAAACGATTGGGTAAATGAAGCCCTAAAAGGTAGAAATGGAACCCTAAATCTAGTATTGGTAACCTATTTGGAGCCTCTCTCTCTCTCTCTCTCTCTCTCTCTCTCTCTTCCAAAACTTCCCCCTCACACTCACACACACACACACACACTCTCCCAGGTAATCAATAACAATTATGCTAATGCCCTCAGCAAGGCGTGACGCATTACTCTGTCCACCTGCCAGCAAGAGTGTCTGTCTGTCTGTCTGTCTGTTTACAAATGAAAGCTACACTTGATAAACTACAGTAGGTTGTATGTATGTATGACTGTATGTATGTATGTATGTATGTATGTATGTATGTATGTATGTATGTATGCAGTGCAGGTATTTTTTGCTTTGATCTCTTTCTATCCTTGTTTTATTATTTAACACACACACACACACACACACACAAACAGCCCCCTCAAACATACCCCCCCACACAAACACTACACATACACACACACGCCCACAAACACTCCCCACCCCCTCACACACAAAATAAAACAGCGATGGAAATTTAGTAAAACACCGCAAAATTGTGTGAACTTTTTTTCTCTGCCAACTATCGGATTAAATTTGACAGACAGGTGGAGCAGTACGTCGATTATACTAACTACCGCAGCTGGCGCCCCACATCAGTATTCATGAGGTAACTGCTGTCTGCCTATAGTACTGTAAACAAAAATGGATATAAACGACTGACGCGGTGTAAACAAGTGTAGTGGGTTTTTTTTCAAGTTTGTATTCGAAAAAAATTGGTAAGTGTTATTAGTAAATTATCAAAAGTAGTATAATGATAATCGGTAATTATAATCAGTAATTAATAAAATAATATAATGCAATTTTTCCTTTCATAAATTTGACAAGAAAATAATCGGTATTTTATAATCAGTTAATTAATATATAAAAAAATACTATGATTTTTTCCTTTCATGAAATATTATAGAAAAAAATCCTTAAATAATGAAAATCATTAATAAAAATCCACTGAAAATATGTTAATATCATCAGTAAAGACAAAAAAAATAAAAATAAAATAAATAAAAGAAAAAATCGGTTAAAAAATAATGTATTGTTTTTGCTTTCATAAAATAATAAGAAAAAATCGGTAAAAAAAATCTTCCATAAAATAAAAAAATAAAAATAAATAATTCGGTAAAAAAACGTATTTTTCCTTCATAAAAAAGTAAGAAGAAAATCAGTAGGAATTTCATAGCAATGAGTTCTATAATTCATATAATATTAAACATAATCTATTAAGTATTTTCAGTAATATAATTCCACACAATATCGGTACAATCAAAAGGCATTAAGTACAATAACTTCTACTTACCATCACAATACATAAACATCAAGTATCATAATTTATAAAACATTAACAAAACACAAAATAACATCAATAATTATATAACCATAAATTATATAGGGAATGAAACATCACAGATTATACCACAGTTCATAAACATTTAATTATGAGTAAAAAACATTAATAAACATGCAGACCATAACATTCCCTATACGTGAACATTCAAGCTTAACACGAAAAAGAATGTTGAAAAATAATTGTACAAAACATTCAAGTTATTCACATTTTTATCCAGATGTGAGAATGAAAAATGAGAGAGAGATGTGAAATGAATAACCATGGATAAAGTGAATAACCAAACACTCGATAAAAGTGAATAAAAGAATGGATAATGCTGGATAAAAGTGAATGGGATAATCGATCATGCTGGATAAAACTACATAAGAGAATTAAGAACAGTGGATAATGGTAGGAAATAATCAATAACAGTGGATAAAGCCGTAGAATGATCAATTAAGTTCAGTAAGATGAAAAACTAAGGAATAAATAATAGTAATAATAATAATAATAATAATAATAATAAACATTTACTGCAAGACAAGCAAGGGAGGAGGGAGGGAGGGAGGGAGGGAGGGAGGAGGAGGGAGGAGGGAAGGGAAGGGAAGGGAAGGATCCAGCGAGATAGTAAAACAAACAGACTGCAATACTCACGGTCAAAGCTTCCTAGAGATGGAGAACAACAACAATATATTACTACACATCATCATCATTGTCATCATCATCATCATTGTCATCATTAATATCATCATCATCATCATCGTCATCATCATTTACTTATTTTCAAAGATATATTTTAGTCAATTATATTAATAAGTTCAATTACTAACCTAACACAATACTGGTTCCTGATCAACACACGGTGGCCTGTGATTGGCTAGCCCTACCCCCCATGAAGATCTTTACAACCAATCAACCCTTTTAAAAACACACGGTGACCTATGATTGGCTAACCATATCCCCCCTTCAAAGTCTCGGTAACCAATCAGATATTTTTTTATAAGCACTGCAACACCTCAATACACCTTAGCTGATCAAGAACCGTGAGAACCGGATTTTTTTTAAGAACCGGATGAGATGGTACTTACCGCAGTCCTTGTCCGGGATGTTTCCGTTCGGTTCTATCCGGTCCAGATATTCGTCAGAGAATCCGTTAATCTTCATACCGGACACAGACAAGCTCTCGTCATCGTCATTCTTGGAGATGGCTGTTGGGAGGAGATGGGGAGAGAGTTAGTATCTGGGGTGATGGTGGTGGTGGGGAGTAGGTGGGGAGATAAGTTAAGTAGTGGTGGGGTGGAGGTGGGGAGAGAGTTAGTATCTGGGGTGATGGTGGTGGTGGGGAGTAGGTGGGAAGGTAAGTTAAGTAGTGGTGGGGTGGAGATAGAGATGGGGAGATTGTTATTGTGAGGGGGTGATGATAGTGGGGAGTAGAATATGCTAGGTAGGAAAGGTAAGATAGGTGCAGGAGAACAGGTAGGGAGGATGGTGAGAAGGAGGGGGAGAGGGGAGGTAGGCCAGGTGGTGGGGAGGGAAGTGTAGGCGAGGTAACAGGACAGACTATGATGCAGGCTATGAGCAGGTCGGATACAGGCAGGGTAGTACAGGCCAAGGTACGGTGATTTAGACCAAGGAACAGTGGTACAGGCCGAGGTGTAGGCCAGGATACAGTGGCTTAGAGCAAGGAACAGTGGTACAGGCCGAGGTGCAGGCCAGGATACAGTGGCTTAGACCAAGGAACAGTGCTACAGGCCGAGGTGCAGACCAGGATACAGTGGCTTAGAGCAAGGAACAGTGGTACAGGCCGAGGTGCAGGCCAGGATACAGTGGCTTAGAGCAAGGAACAGTGGTACAGGCCGAGGTGCAGGCCAGGGAACAGGATGGAACACTGGCAGCATTTTAGTGACGTGTTCAGGGAATTGGATACTGCAGAACTTCCAATCTGCGGAGGGTGAAATCAGCAGGTGAGGGGGGGTGAGAGTGGGGAGGGGAGAGAGGTGGGAGGATAGAGAGTGGCGAGGATTAAGGGTGAGAAGGAATGAGGGAGGAGGTGTGGGTGGGGGAGTAGAGTTGGTAGGGAGAATTGAGGTGGGGAGGAGTAAGGATGGGGAGGAGTGGGGGTGGGGAGGAGTGTGGGTGGGGAGGAAGAAGATAGAAATAACAGTGGGGAGAGGCTTCCAAAAGTACCTTATGTAAACATCAGTAAATATATTCCAATACACGAATGCAGAGAAAATAGCAAAAGCAGGCAATAAATAGGAATACCAAGGCATGGGTGTATATACAGTATAATATATAAAATAGCCAAAAATAAAGAACTAGCAGTGATATATACATTACAAATATATATAAATAGTTTAGTTTATATATTCCACGGCCAATTCCACAAGACTAGTGTACCATATTGTCTCTCTTACTCTGCCACACACACGCACGCACGCACGCACGCACGCACGCACGCACACACACACACACACACACACACACACACACACACACACACACACACACACACACACACACACACACACACACGCACACACACACACACACACACACACACACACACACACACACACACACACACACCTGGAGCCGTTTTGTATTGTAATCAGTTAAGTTCCCACATTTTTTTTTCTTCATCGTTTTATTTTTCTTATATTTATACGTTAAGAAAATACATTGTTTCTCTAATACTTGTTGTTATAGTTCAAGGTCCATTAACTCACTCTCACACACTCACTGACTGTCGAAACTCTCACACACTCGCTGATTGTCACACAATCATTGTCTAACGCACTCTCTATCACACACCCACTCCCACACACTCGCTCACTGCCGCACAATCATTCTCACACACTCATGCCACACACTATCTCTCACGCACTCGCTCACTGTCACACACACTCACTGATATAAAAGAATCCAACCTTTTTCAAATCTCCGCCGCCATCTGAGACCAGCGGGTTAGTGACGGTTATTTCCGTTACAGTTAATGGAAGACGTTGGATAACCGACCTAACGGATTTTTCTCATTTTTATCTTTTTTTTTCTAATTAGTTTTTTTATATAAATCTTAATTATTTATTCACCAAACTCCCTCGAACGACTGGGAATACCTTGGGATCGAACGAGTCACCTTTAAGACACAAGTCGAGTACTGTAGCCACTCAGCCACCGCAACACACATACAATACATAATAAAACACTAACTCACACACATACATTGATTAAATTGCATGGAAAACTCTATTATTTCCTACACTTGCCAGGGTGAGTTGTACAGTAAGTCAGTGTTCATGCAATACCCTGTGCAACACCATGCACCAGAGGCCGCCACCAGCCATGGTTACCTGCGTGGCGGTGTCCGGAAAAAAAGCAAGTCCGGTAAAATAGAAGGCAAGTCCAATATACTATATGGAAGTCCGGTAAAGTGAAAGGAAATTCGAAAAAATGAAAGCAAATCCGGTATATAGAAGGAAAATCCAATAAGTAAAGGCAAATCCGGTAATGTGAAAGCAAGTCGAAAAGAAAGCAATTATAAGAAAGTGAGGATAAGTCGCGATGAAAGGAGAGTCAAATTAATAAAAGAAAACTCTACCAGATATAAAGAAAGCGACGATGATTAAGGGAAAGTTGAGCCAATATAAAAAGCTGAATTGATAGAGAGAAACCGAGACTAAGCTGATATAGAGAAAGCTTAACCGATACAACAGAGAAAAGGCAAGGCTAAATGTGAAAGCTTATCCAGTAATAAGTAAAATAAATGAAAAATATAAAATTAAATAAAAATAGAAAATGAATCACTTTTACAATAGACAATCCTTAAATAAAAATAAAACACGCGAACTTTAACCAATTATAATCTAAATAATTATATTAAAAAAACGAGCAACAAGCAGAGTATTTAGATAGGAAAAAACAGGCATATTGTATATTATTTAAACATCAGAGGATAAACAGATTTGTGAATAATTAATGACTATGGATATAAAAAACGGGCAGAGGTGAAGAGCAAACAGTTTATATTATGTAGGGCAAATGATCATTATTAGAGAGAGAGAGAGAGAGAGAGAGAGAGAGAGAGAGAGAGAGTACCACACGCCCAAAGCTTCCAAGACAATGGCAGGTAATAATAATAATAATAATAATAATAATAATAATAATAATAATAATAATAATAATAAATATTACAAATAATAATAATAATAAATAATAATAAAAATAATAGGAATAATAAAAATAATAATAATAATAATAATAATAATAATAATAATAATAATAATAATAATAATTAATGAAGCTCTTAATTAAAGGTTTATCGGGGTAGGTGTTCCGTGTCAGAGTCCACTAATCTCAAAGGCTCGTAAATTAATCTCAGTTAAGGTCGAGTCTCGGGGTAAACATGACGCCATCTTGGTCATCCATCTTTTTATGTAGAAAATTTATCTTAAGTTCTGTTTTACGAACCTTTGAGAATGTAGCTCCAAGTGTGTGTGTGTGTGTGTGTGTGTGTGTGTGTGTGTGTGTGTGTGTGTGTAATAAAGAAATAAATCTTACAAAAACACAAACAACCAAACATCATCAACCCTCAAGCACATCTTCAGACAAAAACACGTGAAAAAACGGCAAAAAAACACGATAAAAAAAAACATTCTCCAGAAAAAGTGCATAAAGCAGATATATACATGTGGAAAAAACACACATAAAAAAGATTTAAAAAATGGAAAAAAGTTGTAAAAAAAAACAGCGTTGGGTTAAAATCGTACCAGACACCCGGAAGCCGTTTTCTTCAAAATCCTCGCTCTTAGATATGGCTGTGGGGGGTGGGGAGGGGGGGACATTAATAAATAAATAATCCCCTGGTAAAAAAAAATATATATATAATAAATTAAAACATGAGCCCTATACGTAATATTAATAACCAAAATATATAATTTCTATATTAATCACACAAGTATTTAATTATATATCAATCATATATATACGTATTTAACTATATCATAAAAATAGATATATTTACTTAATTATCAATATATATATATCAAGGTCAGCATGCTGATATGGTACAATAAATAAAGGTTATGTATGAGAGGTGAACAATACCCTACCCGGCATTCTGTACTCGGGCTCGAAGACTTCATGCTTGGATATTGCTGTAAGAGAAGGGAGAGAGGACACGATGTTATCATACGGTTTACTGAAGGAGGTGTAGTAAAGCTGTTGAATATAAGATGGCTCTGTGTGTGAGTTTACTTCAACACTACCAGCATGGAGATTAAATGCTTGTTAGTTAGTTTGACAATGATTTTTCGTAAGTTATAGGTACACACACACGTATATATATATATATATGAAAAAGTTTATATAATTCCAAAATTAATTAATTCCTATGTTGTTTACAGGAGCAGGACACAACAATTACTATCTTACTACAGTTTTAGAGACGCTGAGTCAACTGTTGCAAGGATTAATAGTAGAGCTGTATGGTTCAACACCTGTATGACCTACCACAGCAGCCACACAGCCACACAGTTGCCAGACATAACACAATCAGCTACAGAAACACAACAGCCAGAGACAGCAACACAGCCACACACAGCAACACAGCCACACACAGCAACACAGCCACACAGCCACACACAGCAACACAGCCACACACAGCAACACAGCCACACACAGCAACACAGCCACAATACAGCAACACAGCCACACACAGCAACACAGCCACACAGTCACAATAGAACACAGCCACACAGCAACACAGCCACACACAGCAACACAGCCACACAGTCACACACAGCAACACAGCCACACACAGCAACACAGCCACACAGCCACACACAGCAACACAGCAACACAGCCACACACAGCAACCAGACATAACAGGGTGAGAACGACCGCCTGGGAAATCTTAAAAGAGGGAGGTGACCTTCTGCTTGGTGAGGAGTTGTCAACACTATCAGATTCAGCTGCACCCACGCCCACACCCAGAACTCTCTCTCTACGCCCACGACACTCCTTTCCCTCTACACCCACACTCTTAACACTCACTCCCTACGTCCCTCCACGCCCATGCTTTTGACTCCCCCTCCCTACACGCCTGCACCCACGCCCGCCTCCTGCGTGTCGCTACATCTCGATCATGTAGAGAGAGAGAGAGAGAGAGAGAGAGAGAGAGAGAGAGAGAGAGAGAGAGAGAAGGGTATACCACTTTGTACCCTCCAACCTCCCACTCCTCGAACCTCCCAATCACCTCCCTCTCCCCTCCCTCTCTTTCTCTCCCTCTCCTTCCCTCCCTCCCTCTCCTCCACATATTGACACAACCTTCGTCTGCTTTAAAGATTAATTGGAGAGTAACTTACCGTGACGCCTCGATGCTTTTTATTTAATTAACAATAATAATCCAAATTGCTACTCGAGGATTTTGTGATTAAATTTTTTACCTGCAATATTTTTTAAGATTATATTTATTAATTATCTTGTATGAAATAAGTAAACCTTGATTATATTAGTACGTATAATTAATCATGTGTATAATTATATCTAGTACTTGAATCGTTCCCAAGACTAATCTTCTTTTAGTAATATTTAATTGATTTGTATTTTTTTTAGTAATTTAGTTTTATTTCGTTCATGTTATCGGAAAATCCCCGAATTGGTCTCAATGTTGTTTGGCGATAGTTTGAGTAAGTATCCAATCAGGCATCAACTCTCCTAGTCTCTTCACGTTGGTGGCGGACGTACGACAAACACTATCAACCCTCCTTCAATAAACCACCACACGAGTAAATTTCCAAGAACCTTTTCCACGATAAATAAAAATCGCTTTAAAATTGAACAAAACCCAATTAAATTCCTCCTACATGTTAGAAAATTCTTATTATTACACCAACCACCTGTTAATGATACCTGCCCCACAGACGACCTCCTCCACCCACAGGTAAGTCACGGTATATATCCCGCCTTATCATACCTGGACAGAAGTTGAGATACGAAGCTCTGACTCCAACAACACGTAACAATTATAAGAATACGTAGTCAAGTTATAATTAAATGTAAGATTAGAGCAGCCATACCAGCCTCAACACACAGGAGTTCAACTGAGTATTGCTGAGGAGATGGTTGGGTTTTCTGATGTGGGGAGGGGGGGGGTGATCATCCACACAGTTTTATGTTTTAAGGTGGATGGTGAGGATAGTGAATGGGGTGAGGATAGTGAATGGGAGTGAGGATAGTGAATGGGGTGAGGAATGAGGGTGAGGATAGTGAATGGAGGAGGATAGTGAATGGGGGTGAGGAATGAGGGGTGAGGATAGTGAATGGGGTGAGGAATGAGGGTGGAGGATAGTGAATGGGGTGAGGATAGTGAATTGGGTTGAGGATAGTGAATGGGGTGAGGAATGAGGGTGAGGATAGTGAATGGGAGGAGGATAGTGAATGGGGGTGATGAATGAGGGTGAGGATAGTGAATGGGGTGATGAATGAGGGTGAGGATAGGAATGGGGTGAGGAATGAGGGTGAGGATAGTGAATTGGGTTGAGGATAGTGAATGGGGTGAGGATAGTGAATTGGGTTGAGGATAGTGAATGGGGTGAGGAAATGAGGGTGAGGAGGATAGTGAATGAGGGTGAGGATAGTGAATGGGGGTGAGGAATGAGGGTGAGGATAGTGAATGAGGGTGAGGATAGTGAATAGGGGTGAGGATAGTGAATGGGGGTGAGGATAGTGAATGGGGGTGAGGATAGTGAATGCGGAGGAGAGTGAGGTGAGGATAGTGAATGAGGAGCCAAAACAGAGAATAGTTATGCTCGCCTCATTAACCTGAAGCCCCGATTAGATAAGTTTCAATACAGCGCAGTTCATCTTAGGCCTTGGGTACACACACAAGGGGAAGGGGGGAGGGGAAGAGGGGAGGGGAAGAAAGGGGAAGGGAGGGGAAGGGAGGGGGAAGGGGAGGAAGAGGGGGAAGAAGGGGAAGGGGAGGGGGAAGGGGACGCGGCTGGCACTGAACTCGACCGTCTTCACCTTCCTCATCTGCAACATTAGGTACTATTTATTATCTCTAGCTGGGTGAACTATAGGAAACCCTTGAGTGTTGAACGAGTGGTCTTTAGGACGGGAGACGAGTGGTGTACCCAACGACGGCCGTACCTCTGTCTGTCTGTCTCTTCCCACTAACCTAACCTAACCCGCCCATCCTACCTCCCTAATTAAAACACAGGGGAAAACCGAACTAATATTCTCAAAAAAAAAAAAAAACGGGAAACCGACACAAAAAATCTTTAGGGGAGGAAGGAGAGGATGGATTCTCTCTCTCTAGGTCGTAAATATGTCTGGTGGACAAAACAGCTGCCAAAAAACAGCAAGTAGTTTCATAGTTTTATTTACACGCGCGCACGTGTCTGTACGTGTGTGTGTGTGTGTGTGTGTGTGTGTGTTAGGTGTGGCGACCTGTGGTCAGCATACTCGCCTCGCAGATGAGTAGACTCGGGTTCGATCCCCTGGCAGGGTGAAACTATGGGCAAGTTTCTTTACGCCATTTGCCTCTGTCTACCCATCAGTAATTGGGAACCTGGATGTTAATTGATTTGCGGATCGTATTACGGGGTAATGGTTAGCCAGTGCAGTTGGCGAGTTGTCCGGTTTCATCGGACTATTCCTTGACACTGGGTCACGCAGCTCGTTAACTCAGGGTGTGGTTGTTGTGTAGGCGACAGCTTCTACACCTTAAACAAATTCACGCCTAGGTGGCCCTTGGGCTGGCCATCATCGTTACACGAGGGCCAACCATTGTAGGTGTGGGTAGTAAATCACCTCCCCTCATAAAGTCACGCTGGCTGGTTAACTCTGTGTGTGTGTGTGTGTGTGTGTGTGTGTGTGTGTGTGTGTGTGTGTGTGTGTGTGTGTCCAGGAGATGTGATGTGCTCGTAAATCTACACTCCTTTCATGTTTGTCTGTATGTCTGTTATGGCTATCTACTGTATTTGTCATTCTCTGTGTGTATGTCTATATATATTTACGAGTCTGTTTGTCTGTCTGTCTGTCCAAAACAAGACACAGACACACCAACCATGTCTCCCTCATCTGTCTGTATACACACTACAACATACAACATTATAAACACTGATGCCAAAATAGTGATATATCCTAGACTAGAGAATATTATACACAGTGATGCCAAGATAGACACATACCCTATATAATAGAATATCGAACAGTGATGCCAGAATAAAAACAAATCCTGTACCAAAGAATCTAGAACAATGATACCAGAATGGACCAAAAAAAAAATTGAAAAACAGGAAAAGTGATGCCAGAACAAAAATAATAAAAACACGACCAACGAAAGAATATCTGGAACAGTGATGCCAGAACAAAAACGGACCCAAGTTGTGAAAGCCATATGTATGCAAATTTCGAAAGGCCAAATATTTTGAGAATGTCAAGAGTCTAATTATGGGTTTTATTGTGGGGTCTGGATTGCATTTCTACCTCCCCACTCTGCCACCGCCTCCTCCTGTCTGTGGGGCCTTAGCATGTCTGTCTGTATGTCTGTCCGTTTGTTTATCTCTGCGTTTGTATGACTGTCTGAGTGAATAATTCTACTGTTTGTCTTTCTCTCCCTGTCTGTCCATGTCTGTCTCTATGTCTGTGTGTCTGTCTATCTGTCTTGACACACGATTTACACTCTAGACAGTCAACCCCCCCCCACCCTAACACCTCACCTCTTAGATAACATCGTCAGAGAGAGAGAGAGAGAGAGAGAGAGAGAGAGAGAGAGAGAGAGAGAGAGAGAGAGAGAGAGAGAGAGAGAGAGAGAGAGAGTCACTGGAACTGAGGGCTGCTTCACAAGGCTCTCGGTAGTAACATGAACGAGTTAACATTTAAATAATTGTGTTTGCATTTATCACAGAAGGTAAATGTAATGGAAACTTAAGTTATATAAATGTTTAAGAGAGCTTTCACGTATTTACAGAGACATGTCAACCGTATACATACATACATACATACATACATACATACATACATACATACATGCATAAATACATACATACATAAATACATACATACATACATAAATAATATATACAATCACATTATACCTGCACACCGGCCCGATATATTTTAATGTGTGTGTGTGTGTGTGTG